TACAGCAACTGTTGAGCAACTCTGTTAAGAGTCTGGGAAGATTGTCCTGAGCCCTCACTTCAGTAGTCAGTGATGGAGAAGACTCGATTGACCAGAGAGTAGCATGTCCCTCAGCTGTATAGAGTTAGAAATAACAGTAGAAACATAAATTTTTGCTAAAATACTTCTCTGACCTTAAGCAATGGCCATGTAGTCATTGTTCCTAAAGGCCCTGTAGGGGGCACTGTTTGTACTCACCCATCTCATGTCATGCCCCCTTTCCTGCAGTGTGCCCACCCCCAGCTTCTGTATGTGATGATGCAAATGGTTCTCAAGTGACACCTGCTCTCTCCAGGTTGCCATTCAGCTGCCAGAGCCCCTGCATCTGACCTGCAAACAGAGTTGGGAGTGCCTGAGAGTTTGTGTTTCTGTGGGCAGCCCATAACCAGGAACTGATTGGTGTTGAAGGTTCAGATGCCCTTGACTTGAGATGAGACAGACTCCTGGGACCAGTTCATGTTCTCAAGCTCTCTGTGGAATCAGGCTGACTGGGACTTTGCTTCGTATCACACTTCCTCCCCTTTTCTCTCCTGCTCCCCCGCTCTTTACTGGTTGCTCCTAGGATCACTTCCTCAGTTTGTCATTTGCACTGAAACCTTGGCCCAGGGTCTGATTCTGAAGTTATCTGAACTAAGACATGCCTCTTCCTGGGAGAACATGCACTGAAGTGCATACCTTCCTGGAGTTGGGCAGTCCTCATTGTGAGCTAACACATATTCTCCATCAGTCTCCAAACTTACATTCTGAGTAGATACCACCCTTGGCTAGAAATGTCTTCCTGAGGTATAGGAAGAGAGATGCAGGCATTGTTAATGACGAAAGGATGGCTCTAGTGGGATCTGATGAGAGAAGCACAAATAACCACTGCAAACCTTAGCTAAGGACCAGCAGGAGCAAGGTGGCCAAGCAGCAGGGCTTTCCAGAGCTTGTGGCTGAATCCTGCAGGTTTTATTCTTAAATGTGTCTGAAGCAACTGTCCTTTGGGGGGTTGGGGACCTGGGATCTGGAATATTCTTGCTCCAGATGGCAGGAAACACCTGCACTGAAAGGACAAACTCCTTGACTTTGCAGTAGGTGCCTTATTGTGAGTGGGCTCCAGAGCCCTGCAAGAGGTGAGGGTGAGTTATGCAAAGGGAGTGGTCCTAGATGTCCATCTCCTTGCTGGGGAGATAGACAGGGTGTCAAGGAAAGGGAAACTATGTAAGCAAATGCTTTCCATTGCGGAGTTTTTTAAGTTAACTCTTCTCTCCTGCTGTCAGGGTTTCCCTACTGAAGGTGTCTCTTCACTTTCCAAATGAACCTAAATAACGTGCTGCAGCTACTTCTTTTGAGCTGGAGATCTGACATTTGGGGAGCTGTTCTCATTTAGGTACAGTTTCATCACTATCAGCAAACTGAAAATAGCATGCTCTCCAATAACTGTATACTCTAGAGACTGTCGAGAATAAAGTTACTATCAGAAAGAAAAGAAACACCCAGTTTAGTGTTTCTTTGCCCCACCCCTTCCTAAAGTGCTTCTATCAGGGAAAGGAAGGTTGTACAACTTAAAAGTGCTGTTCTACCCTCCACCTCCTGGTCTGTGAAAGAGGCTGGATCCTCTGGCAAACTCATTTATCTGACAAGACGGTGTACACGGCTCTGGCTGCAATTGCATATTCTTCTCTGAATGAAAGCTGCAGGTACAATGGGACCGAGGAATTTTCTGGGGGATGTTTGGGCATAATAACCCAAGTCATGTATGAACCATATGTTGACTGCACAGTTTAATCCAAAAAATATCCTTTGCTGTTTTTTTTGTGGCTTTACATGAGGATGGGTGAGATAGAGGCCGTCAGCCACCAAATCAAACAAGCACAGATGGCCCTGAATACGTTTTGCTGATTTTCAAGGAAAGGAGGAGGATAGGAGATAAAGGATACTGAACTCTGACCGAAATGTCCAGGCCTCTACTTTCGCTGCAGTTTGACCTTCATGGGTCACTTGCTTTCTCAGGCTTAGCACCCTCACCTGCAATCTGAGTGTGGTTGAATTGACAAGTGGATTTTCAATAATTGAATTGGCAGGGTTACAGGCCAATGCTTATACAGATCTATGAGACTTGGTAGCATTCAAGTGGTCACAGCCCAGCGAAGGCCAGTTTTCTTGGCCATCCACAACTGCACAATTTCATGCCAATGATGAGTTGTGCATGAGGCCAGACTTATGGTTCTTCTTGATCCATCCCATCATAGAGAGCAGAGACCATTGAAACTGATGCTGTACACACTCAGTTGCAGCAGGCACTGTTTGAGAGGTTGGCTGAATAATAAAACTCACGTATTACTCACATGCCCTCTGGACTTCCAGCTTCTCAGAAGATGTGAACATGAGCACCAGGCATGCTCACTGAGCTGTTGCTCCCCTCCACCTAGATATCACAGTCATCCAAAGGCATCATATACTCACAACCCTGACCCTTTCACATTTCCTGACTGGCCTTCCTCCTGCTCAAGGAAATCCAGGGATGGCTTTCCCTATTGAGAGTGTCATGTTTCCTTGGGAACAGTCCCTCTGTAACCATTTCTCCTTAATGAAACAGTTCTGTGCCTCTGTCTTCACCCATGTTGCGCTTCTTAACCGAGCATCTTTTGCTGAGTGACCTGATCAAAGTGTGGTAGCCTGCCCCACCCTTTGTTCATAAATCATGCACTTGTTATATTATCTTTGAAAGGTTTGTTTGGAGCCTCTGCTGCTACCGTCTCATCAATTCACAGAAGTCTCCTTTGGGGCACTCTTTGGGCAATGGGTGCTTTGTCTTCCAATCAAAGCCAAGAGATTTGTGTAATGAACATCTTGTAGGGAGCCTTCTAGAGGACCTGTGGTACAGTAGGCTAAGCTGCCATGTGCAATGCCAGCATCCCAAATCAGAGTGCTAGTCAGAGTCCTGGCCTCTCCACTTCTAATCCTGGCAATGCACCTGGGAGGTCAGTGAAGGATGGCCCAAGTAGTTGGCCTCTGTCACCCTAGATAGAGACCAAGAGAGATGGGAGACCTATATAGAGCTCCAAATTGTGGCTTTGGCCTGGATCAGCCCCAGCCATTAGGACCATTTTGGGGGGGGGTGAACCAGTGAACCAGCAGATACAAGATTTTCCCTCTCTCTCTCTTCCCCTCACTCCCTCTCCCCCACCCCGATAAATTAATAAATTTTTTAAAAATATATGTTCTAAAAAGAGAATATTTATTCAAGAGAAGTAAAAACCATAGGCACTCAAGAGATGCAAAAATGTTATCTATTTTCAAAGGTTTTTAGCAAACTTTGACAAAGGAAACCTATACCTTTTTAACAGTTGATATTTAATAAAGGTTTAATCGTCATCTCTATTCACAGTCTAGTACCTTCTCATATCCTTCCAAGTTGAAAATAACAACACGATATCACCAGAGAGGAATGCAGTAGAATCACTGTTTATCTTGATTAGAGTTTCTGCATCTAGTCATGTTTGCTTTCATGCTTGTTTTCAGTTCTAATTCAATCTAATTTGATTCATTTGAACAAGCTTTCATTGATCACTTTCTGGGTGTCAGGCATCCAGCTGGGCAGTGTGAGTGTGGGGAGAGTGATTCGGAGACAAATAAGCCACAACTCCCACGTTCTAAAAGGTCACAGTCTAGCCAGCAAGACAGTAGTCCCATATCATGTTATTACAAAACCAAACAGATAGTGATTAGTGAGCTGTAGGGGAACTAATGAGGGAGATAACTCATCCGGACTAGGCAAGCCTGGACAGGTTGCATAAAGGAGGTGAAAGATAGGCTCAGCCTTTAGGGAAAAGCATCCTCAGGCAGAGGTGGGTAGAGAGGGAGAGCACTGCAGCCAGAGGAAGCAGGAATGGGATGGCATGGCGTGAGACCCGAATAGCATGCAGTCTGCAGAAGCTGGAGTGAGAAAGGTCTCACAAGAAGACCTTCTGAAAGGAAGTGTAGAAGCTAGCCACAAGGAGTTTCTAATGCGAGGGTGTAGAGTTTGGGTTGTATAATTCAGATGATGGAGAGCCTAAGAAAATGCTTAAAGAGGGTCAATGCTCTATGATTAAAAAGATCAGTGGATGGACTGATTAACTGATTGAATAAATTAGACTCAGAGAGGCCAGGTGGGTTCAGGTAAGAGGTGGGAAGTTTCCAATCTATACATTATAATGGAAGGATATCGAGGAGGAGGAGGGCAGGTAGAAGAGCCTCACTGAGGCCGGTGCCGCGGCTCACTAGGCTAATCCTCCACCTTGCGGCGCCGGCACACCGGGTTCTAGTCCCAGTCGGGGCGCCAGATTCTGTCCCGGTTGCCCCTCTTCCAGGCCAGCTCTCTGCTGTGACCCGGGAGTGCAGTGGAGGATGGCCCAAGTACTTGGGCCCTGCACCCCATGGGAGACCAGGATAAGTGCCTGGCTCCTGCCATCGGATCAGTGCGCCGGCCGCGGCAGCCATTGGAGGGTGAACCAACGGCATAAAGGAAGACCTTTCTCTCTGTCTGTCTCTCTCTCACTGTCCACTCTGCCTGTCAAAAAAAACAAAAACAAAAACAAAAACAAAAAAAAACCACCTCACTGAAGTTGACCCAACAGGGCCTGTTGACTAGAGGAGGAAAGTTAGGAACCAAGGGCAAGCTCAAGACTTAGAATCTGGCCACTTTCTTATATCTTCACGAAAAGAAGAAATGGAGGATGAGGAGCAAGCGGGTTTTCAGAGCTTAGGGCTGGAGTGAGTTTTTGGCTAAGTCCAGCATGAACGGGCTTCGCGGCACCCAAACAGAAACAGGTTTCTTCAAACTAGTGTATCTGAGAATCTGAAACTCAGAAGGGAGATTTATCTGTGGACGGAAGTGAGGATGATGTGTCCATACAGGGGAAGTTGTTCGGACACTATGGGAACTTAGGGGCTCATCCTGCCAGAACTGCTCACTCACCTCTTGTTTTCCTGTCCAGTGTTTATCAACTGGTTGTCAAGGAGGAGCGACTTCAGAAGTCACGGAGAGCAGCTGACATCGTTGAGTGCTTTTCTGTCCCAGTGAGCTACAGGAATGCCTCCAGCCTTGATTCTCTGCACTACTTTGCTGCTGAATTGAAGCCTGCCAACTTGCCCGTCACTCAGCCATTTACAGTAGGTGACAACAAGACATATAATGGCTACTGGAACCCTCCTCTCTCCCCACTAAAAAGCTACAGCATCTACTTCCAGGCTCTCAGCAAAGCAAATGGAGTAAGTATAGCCCTGCCTTGCCAGTTTGTATCTTTCCTTTATCAAATTAGAACGTGGCATGGCTTTAGAGCAGAGGTGGACAAACTCAGGCCTCTGGGCCACGTCCAACCCCATGCCTTTTTAAATGAATTTTTAAAAATAGGGCTGTGCCTGTGAATTTACATTTTATATTTACATAACTGATGTATAAAATTGGAGTCGAGCAATTACAACAAAGACCGTGTAAGCCTAAAGCCCTAAAATATTTGCTGTATGGACATTTACAGAAAAAGTTTGAGACTTTGTTAGAGTATGGAGAAAGTACTTCACTTGAGCAAATCACATGGCCTGTCCGAGTCTTAATTTTTTCTTTTGTAGTAATGATACTATCAATTTGCTACCTATGAATTCACTAAACATCTTTTAGTTGATTAGTAAACATTACCTCCCTTCATCATTATCACTGATCACATTCAAAAATAGTTTTTTTTTCCCAAAAAGCAAAGTAAATATTTGTCAATCATGAAAAGCTCATCCAGCACCTCCCTGCCTTCTACTCCACACCCCCCCCCAGAATACAATGCTTCAATCCGTATTACAGTATCACAGTTAATTGTTGATAGTGCTTATTCTTGAATACCCACAGTGACAGAGAACTTGGTTTGTTGATCTTTGGGTAGGCATGGTAGGAGTTGTGGCTCTAAGGAAGATTTTTAACGTACTTACTGAAATATCTCTTTTATGGTAGCTTCTACACATTGCTGTTGATCTACACTCTCAAGGGCCTATGAAACCCTCAGCTGGTGTTCTTTCGGTTACATATGATCTCTTCTGCCACCTACCTCCTGGTACAAACACACCCATCTGGTGTTCTTTTCTGCAAGCTGAATACCGTCAGCTCCTCTCATCACACAAGTTTGTATTTTCCGTTCAGGATGCTTTTGTGGACACACTCCACAAGTGCTGTATTTCATTCAGTATATATCAGTAGGCATCTAATGAGCACTGACATATCCCAGGCCCTGTGGTTTTTATTAGGTTATGCAGTTTATTCCTTTTAAGAGCTTATAGAAATGAAAGGGAGCCTATGCCATGTTGTGCAGTGTATATGGAGAACTGAGATACTTGCTGGAGAAGGAAAGGCTGAGAAAAAAAAAAAAAGACTTGATGAAGTGTGGTAGAGGCAGCCTGTTCTGGCTCTGGGTGGCCAAGAGAGAGTTTAGTTTGTTGGTAGCAGTCATTGCCTTTTGAGAAACCTGGATTGAGGAACTAATTAACATTTAGAATGTCCACATACCCATTTAAATTCCACTTTGATATTTCAGTTCTGCATTTATTACTGGTTCAAGCAACACTCCTCACAGCAAGTATAAAAGTACAAAGAGAAGCCGCCAGACTGCCTTCCACCTGTCCATCTGCTCTTCCCTCTGCACGAAACACTCTGGTGTACAGAGCAGGAAGACACAAAGATCGGCAGAAGCATGTGGGGGCCCTTCTTGTTCTCAGTCCTCTGCATCCCACACTGGCCAGTATACTAGTTCAGCCCAACTCTCTGATCAGCTGTGCCTTTCCCCATTCTTGGCATGTATCACAAGATGTGGTTGAGTTCCCATACTAGAAGAATTGATTGCACTCAGTTAACCCTATACAACATTCTTAACTGAGAAAATCACAGCACCTAGCAGTAGACAAGTCTGTAGGCGCCAGCAAATTTATGCTAGAAGGAGTTTCCCCAGCTCAAGCATGACTGGCCCAGAGCAAAATGGTAGGTAAGGCAGAAATCCATTGGAGGTTTCTCTGTCCAAACATCACATCATAGACAGAGACTTCCCCTTCAAGACATGGGCCTTTGTCATTGAAAAAAAAAAAAAAAACTCAGACCCCATGAAGCTGCCTTGTCTTGAAAGTAGTTTCTGCTACTCTTTCCAGGATGAACAAGCTCATTTCATTTCTTACGCCTTCTTTCCTATACCATGCACACTCTCCGTTTGGAACTAAGATTCCCTGTAATGCCACAGAAGCAAGAATAGAATTGAATGAGTGCTTATGCCAGGTATCTTGGAGGTGCAGTTGGCCTCACAGGAACAGAAAGAGGAAAACCAGTTGGAGTTGAGCATACACAGGATTGTGTTTTTCTGGCAAGGAAAAAACTTCATGTAGATTGAAGTTACTGACTTCAGCATTGAATTTTACTGAAAGGAGTTGGGTGAAAAGATCATAGGAAAAGCCATTCTCGGCCTAAAAAAATCTCTGTCTGGCCCCTCTCAGATTTCTCTGTTTCTTAAAAGGCAGTAGACAATGCAGTTAAGCCTGGAGGAGTTGAGGGAGAAACGGTTATAACCCACAAATTCCTTGTCAGCCACGTTGTCGCTGTTGTGCAGGTACATCAGAAAGACATTCTCAGTATCTGGGTTTGCTTGTTTCAGGGTGGTTGTGAGCCAGGTTAAATCATTCACCATCAGCCAGTGTAACTCTTCCGTATCTACCTGCAACTTTACTCAAGACAGAGTGAAAGAATTTTGGATCTAGATATCTTTATTCTATTGATGTTAAGGACGATTTGCCAGCTTTGCAGTGTGGCTTTGAATGCAGCCTTTATAATCATACTGCCCCTGTATAAAACCCTAGGAGCTGTGCAACTTTTAGATGTTGAAATAGTTAGAAATACTTGATTAGTTAAGGAAACAACTACTATGCATGTACTATATGTCAAAAAGGCATTTTCTTAAGTGCTAGCAGTAAAGCAGTAAGGCAAATGAGCCAAAATCTCCGTCTTCATTATGTTTACATTCTAGAAGAGGAGAGACCAAAAATAAATAACTGAAGTAGCATGTCAAATGATCATTAGTCATAGGAATGCAGATGTCACTCATTAATGTTAGTTCATTGCATGAAGATCAAGCCATGTCGTAACCTCTACATGGTATGTGAATGTGGACTATTTTAATCCAGCCTCTGAACACTGTAGAGAACTCGTGACGTGCATTTTAAGGCATGACACTCAGGATCCTGTAAGGCATTTTCACACAGTGTGAGCCGCTCACAGGCACATGTGCTGGAAATCTCACATTTACCCACTGAAGCTTTCTTAAACACAGCAAAGGTAGTTCCCTTTGTGGGAGCACTGTCCTTGGTACTGAATCCTCAGCACCTGTACTGGGGGGAAGCAGGCCATATCATGACCATTTGTTTGGACAAGGGTTGGATGAACTTGTTTTTTTAACTTTTATTTAATGAATATAAATTTCCAAAGTACAGCTTATGGATTACAATGGCTTCCCCCCCGCCATAACTTTCCTCCCACCCGCAACCCTCCCCTTTCCCTCTCCCTCCCCCCTTCCATTCACATCAAGATTCATTTTCAATTCTCTTTATATACAGAAGATCAGTTTAGCATATATTAAGTAAAGCTTTCAACAGTTTGCACCCACATAGAAACACAAAGTGAAAAATACTGTCTCAGTACTAGTTATAGCATTATATCACAATGTACAACACATTAAGGACAGAGATCCTACGTGAAGAGTAAGTGCACAGTGACTCCTGTTGTTGACTTAACAAATTGACACTCTTGTTTATGGCATCAGTAATCACCCTAGGCTCTTGTCATGAGTTGCCAAGGTAGTAGTCAAAGTGGAAGTTCTCTCCTCCCTTCAGAGAAAGGTACCTCGTTCTTTGATGACCTGTTCTTTCCACTGGGATCTCACTCCCAGAGATCTTTCATTTAGGTTTGTTTTTTGTTTGTTTGTTTGTTTGTTTTTTTGTCAGAGTGTTTTGGTTTTCCATGCCTGTAATACTCTCATGGGCTTTTCAGTCAGATCCGCATGCCTTAAGGGCTGATTATGAGGCCAGAGTGCTGTTTAAGACATCTGCCATTCTATGGGTCTGCTGTGTATCCCGCTTCCCATGTTGGATCGTTCTCTCCCTTTTTTATTCTATCAGCTAGTATTAGCAGACACTAGTCTTGTTTATGTGCTCCCTTTGACTCTTAGTCCTATCATTATGATCAATTGTGAACTGAAATTGATCACTTGGACTGGTGAGATGGCATTGGTACATGCCACCTTGATGGGATTGAATTGGAATCCCCTGGTATGTTTCTAACTCTACCGTTTGAGGTAAGTCAGCTTGAGCATGTCCCAAATTGCAATCTCCCCTCTCTCATTCCCACTCTTATATTTAACAGCGATCACTTTTCAGTTAAGTTTCAACACTTAAGAATAACTGTGTATTGATTACAGTATTCAACCAAAAGTATTAAGTAGAACAAATAAAAAAAATACTAAGAGGGATAACATATTAAGTTGTTCATCAACAGTCAGGGCAAGGGCTGATCAAGTCACCGTTTCTCATAGTGTTCATTTCACTTTAACAGGTTTCCTTTTTGGTGCTCAGTTAGTTGTCACTGATCAGGGAGAACATAAGATATTTGTCCCTTTGGGACTGGCTTATTTCACTCAGCATAATGTTTTCCAGATTCCTAACAGGGATTACTTTTCAGTTAAAATTTAAACACCTAAGAATAATTGTGTGTTAATTACAGAGTTCAACCAATAGTACTAGAACAAAAAAATACTAAAATGGATAAAGTATTACATTGTACATCAACAGTCAGGACAAGAGCTGATCAAGTCACTGTTTGAAGTGCCCTGCAATATAGAGCAGAAGCCAAAAGAGAAATCTCCAATAAGGCGTTCTTGGCAGGGTTTCAGCTTGATCACTGCAATTCTCTGGAGTGAAAGGAAGTTGATTCCTTTGTGGAACAGGTAAAATTACTATAACTTTTTCCTTAGATAAAACCAAATTATGTATTCTTAATTCTACCCTCTTGGCCACTTGTATTGATTTGAACAAATCAAATCTTTCTTTCCCATGTCAGCCTTTCAGAGGAAATATAATAGTACTGGCTACCCAACTCTGGCCACCCAACTCTTTTCTCATTGATATTTAATATGCAGTTACTTCTTTTATTTCTCACATGGCTTGATTTATAGATCATTTTCATCCTACTTTCTCTTCTG